TTTATCTAAACCAGGGGGACAATCTGGTTGTTTACTGGCTACAGGGAAACCTTTGAAGATATTGGCCAGAGATAAAAGAGAATATGTACCTATTGTGAGAATCAAGGGTCTCGGCTCTGAAAAGACTGAGGACTGTGTTGTGACCTGCCATACTCTATGTAATTAACTGGATACGTCTGGGCAGATCAATAACCCTATTTACAATTCATTGGTATGCAACTCCCCTGGACAGTGATAACCAACAACAAAGAATATATTTAATTACAAGCTCCCATCACCTCTTGTGGAATATTTAAAAACAAAAATAAAACTATATACATATGTCTTATGACGATTTGACATAAATGTTGTATGTTTTTCAGTAATGAGTCAAACAAATATGCATTGCCAACAAAGTATGTCTTTACATTTTTGACCAAGCACTTAAAGCAATCATGTTTCCAAACAGTTGACTCTAAGGGGTTGATTTAATAACCTTATAAACACGCCACAAACAAGTATACACCTCTGTAGTGTGTTCCCTCCCAGCATGATCTATTGGTGGAATCTAGACACCTTTGCAGTGTGTACACACCCAGCAGGTGTGTTGTGCAAAGCCCTGCATGAATTGCAAGGGGATGTTGTGTAAATTAGCTCTACATTGTGTTGCTTGCGTTGATGAATGCAGGAATGTAAATGCATGAGCTAACCATTTTTGTCTAAACTGTGAAGCAGCGTTATATATTCATCATGTGCATGATTTTTCCATATATGGCATTAGTGGAAATATTCTTTTAGAGACTTTTTGGTTGATAAATACGTTTTGCTGTGTAAAAATCACACGCACCTAGTGCGTGCGTGTGTTTAGGTTAGTAAATTACCCCCTAACTCTCTCGGCTCAGTTTCCCTAAAATTCCTGTCTAGTACAAGATAACAAGGCAGCAGTCTCCGGCAACTGTCTATCTACTAGCATGGAAAAGGAAGGAGCGAGGAGCAGGGGATCAGCTTTCCTTGCCATACTTGTGTGTTTGTTGAGATGCTCACAGCTTACTAGCACACTCAAAGGTGGCTCCATATGAACCTTGCAAGGTAAAGGAACCACCCTAAAACAGAATATCAAGACCAGTGCTCAGGGGATCAGCTGATTCTGCAGAAAACTAAAACTTTTAAACATCAAGGAGCAGCATCCGTTCAAAGTAATTTAATTTGAATTTGAAATAGCGTTAAAACCACACCCAGCTTACTAGCACACACAAGGGTGACTTCATTGCACTCTGCTTGGGAAAGGAGTCACCCTAAAACTCTAAAAAGTCAGGGCCAGTGTTCAGGGGACCAGCTGATTCTGCAGGAAACTAAAACTTTTAAACATCAAGGAGCAGCATTTATTGTAAGTGATTTCATCAGGGTTTGAAATAGCTTAAAACCCTTCTGACTTTACTATCACTTTATTGTTTCCTAATGGATGCATAACTAAATTATATTGTGCTTTTTTTGCCCGGAGTGAAGAAATGTAAAGGAAAAAGTTAATTTGCATATTTCAGTTTCTCCACTGGTACATCAATTCAGCCTGGTGATGTGGCCCCAAATGTATTCTGACACATGTGAAACACTGACCTCTATAACATCATCATATTTGGAAGTCAGTGCGAAGAACAGTGGGGATGTCCAGAGCAAAGTAACCCATAAACAGCAAACACAAAGCATACATTGCCCTGGGCAGACACATAGCCAAGATATTATTGTGGCATATTTTATTTTTGTATGCTGCCAGTGTTTCTACTGATGTAAAAGACATACATGGCATGTAAGCTGAAGGTACTTGAAAACCAGTGTTTGTGTATTTGATGTCTTTATGTGACAGATAATGCAATGTTAAGAGAGTCGGTCTGATTAAAGGCATTCAGCAGCATAAAGTATCAGGAGAAAAGATCAGAAATGTTGATACTGCCACTATTAATAATATCATAATGCAGTCTAACTAATCCTCACTTTTCTGTACACCCAGGTCTGCATTTGTGAGTTACACATGATGCTGTGATATAGGATGCATACGCATTGACAATGCATTTTAGACATAAACAAACACCTTTTCATCTGCATTTACAATGGTTATGTTTTATATTGTTTTGGTGAAGACACACTAATTCAGCTGTCTTTCTGCTATAAAACAAATTACTGTGTTGCTAATGTAGCATGAACTCATGATTGATTCTTAGGATTAGCACAGACCACATTTTTGTTATGTATCTGCTGAAAGCTAGACATCCCATTATCTGCACGCTCATATCTTGGCAGGGGCCTTCTGGCAAAGAATACTTCATAGTCTGATAAAATAAGCAGTAAGTGACATGTCTATATATTACCTTTCCTAATGGTAATCTAAAAGCTTGCTGTTGTCAGTATTACTTATTTTGCATTCTAATGCCTTTTAATGGAAAAGTAACTACAGTGAGGTGATCGATTGAAATGGAATGCATTATTTACCTATTGGTGCTTAACGTTAAAATGCTTATCATGGAAAATAGCGATAAACTGTTAAATGTTATTACCTGTCCATGAAATTGTACCAACCTACTTCCATATTTTTCAGTTTAATTAGGACTGAGAAATTTGATTTTAGATTCCACTTGCATTTGTAAGTGAGCAAAGAGTAGCTTCGGGAGGTGAGCGAACAGATACCGGCGTTCGCTCACCTCTCGATCCTGTCACAGCTCTCTGCACTGATAGGGGAGGGGCTGGATTCCCCGCTCCGATCCGCCAGCACTGACTGGCGGATCAGACAGGGGAGGGGGCGGGTACAGCTGGCTCTGCCTCTAGATAGGCAGAGCCAGCTGTCACTCACGCAGCTGGGAGGATCCAGACATAATTGTCGGGATCCGCTTCAGCTGCGGCATCTCAGTATACTGCGAGCAGTAGCTCGCGGTATACTGTGGCGTCTCAGTATACCGCGAGCTACAGCTCGCGGTATACTGAGGCTAGGGTGACGGGAGGACGCTAGTTTGTGTCCTACCGTTACCTACATGAAGTTTTGATGGCATTTATACATATATTTACTTCAGATATACTACTTATTTAATCTTTCTATGTATGTATAACTTCCAGTGTCAGTTCCAATCACATGCAATGCATTCATTGTAAAAGGTAAATTTGTTGTTTTGCTGTGTATTTTAATTCCTGTACATGAAGGGATCCACCAAACCTGAAGTGTCCTGGTATTGAGATGGGACTATACCAGCGAACTAAAGCTTAGTGGAAGGCATACATTATTCTTGGTCAACATACATGCATTTTCAGTTATCAAAACCTGATTACAAGAACACTTGTGGAACAGTGCCCAGGGCAAGCCTCAACATTTACTAATTGCTATGATTTTAATTATGCCATTTATCTTCTTTGTCCATGTCTGAAATTTGCATCTAAATTCAGCAAGAGAAGTGTAAGGGAAAGTCAGTATGGGAATGTTGAGCGTACGGGGACGCTAGAATAGTTTTTCTGATCCAAAAATATGAATCCCTCTTTCTTTTTCTTGTTTGATGGCATGTACAGGGGAACTGCTGTCCTGCACATAAAGGAGACCCCATGCTGTCTACAACAGCCCATTCTAGCATTAGTTCATAGTTAGATAATCACAAGAGACAAGGGGTAGATCAATAACAAAAGGACATCATCATTAGGCGTATCTTCTAACCCTTCCTTATTCTACTATAAATGTATTTTGGCTGGTATCATTGTAGAGATTCTCCTCACATCCTGTTCTGACAGGGAGTGAGGGATACATTTCTTAAACTGGGACACAGATGGTAATAACAATGAACATGGGCTCCAAGCCTTATCCGCTCTTTCAAAAACAAATTAAAATGTGTTGGCTGTAGCTGGACGTTAAAACAAAGGCATGTTTTTGTTATTTTAAAAACAATTGATTTTATACTAAAATGGATCACCTTGTCTATGACAACATCATCATTATATATTGTACTAAAATGGAATGCTATGCTAATCTCAAAGCCAACTGCTGTAAATTAAAGCAACCCTGTAGGAGCATACAGTAATTAAACCAATAGCACAGCTGTGCAGCTGTGCAGCAGGATTTAAGAAGTGCTTGCTCTTACCTGCTAAGCACAATCCCTCCAAGCCCAATCCACCACTGAAGCACAAATCCCATATGTAAATCCCAACTTTCTTAAATTCTGTGTTTGCAGATTTTTTTATTTGTGATTAGGTTTAATCATTTCACCAAACACATGGCAGTGATTGGGCCCAGTAATTGGCCACTTAATCAGTGACCACTGCATTTGTGGAAGGCAGGGGTTAGTGTACACATATGACCTGAATTTTTCACTAGGGATGTCGTGGAGGATTAAATGTTCACCCTTACATTTATTGCTTTATGCTCAAAACAATATACCACCAAAAGAAAGCTCTATCTGTCCCCAAAAAAGGGTATAAAATTCATTTCAGTACAGCGCTGCATGACGGAATAAATGTCAGTTAAAGTACCGCAGCGCTGAATACTGAAAAATGGCCTGGATGGGAAGGGGGTTTAACACCGCGGATGTCAACTGGTTAAGAGACTCGTCACTGCGGGTAAGAGGGCAAACTGCTACAGATATGAAGAGCTCATACCCACATCAGCCTTTCAGACCTGGGCCAATCTGACCAGCATTGCTCCAACAAGCTTGCTGCTATGCCCCACACACACATATTTCTATTGGTCCATAACTATAAACAGTAACCACACTAGCCAAAAGGGCCGTGTAGGGGGTCTAAAGGGGCCAGCAAGCTTCAGCATTATCTGGAAATGCTGAAGTTTTACCTATTAGAATGTCTGTCAGGTTAGGCCATGACAGAATAGTTTGGAAGACTGCTGCAGGTATGTGCTGGCACATCTGCGTGACAAAGTCTCTTTAAAGTAGCCAATACTATGGCAAGAGAAGGGATCTGTTGATAATCCTCATATTGGTTGCAAAATATAACTTGTCTATCTGTAAAACTTAGCTTTTTTGTTTTGTGTGTTTTTACAGGTGTGGTTATGCGGGGGCAGCATGGAAGTTCTTCCTTGTTCAAGAGTTGCCCATATAGAGCGCAAAAGGAAACCTTACAACAATAATATTGATTTCTACACAAAGAGAAATGCATTACGGGTAGCTGAAGTCTGGATGGATGATTACAAATCTCATGTATATATTGCATGGAATTTGCCTTTAGAGGTACACTCTGAAAATGAATAAAATATACTGTACATCATCACCATTGAAATAGACAGTGTGATAACATTCTCCTTACTATCTTTAGAACCCAGGGATTGACATTGGTGATATATCAGAAAGAATTGCCTTAAGGAAAAGCTTGAAATGCAAGAACTTCCAGTGGTACTTGGATAATGTTTATCCAGAAATGAGACGATACAATAATACAGTTGCTTATGGAGAGGTAATACAAATATTTACGCAAGACCTTTTAATGCACACACATCTCCAGCCTTACAGAATAAAAAAAATAAAAAAACTAGAGACAGTAAGACCATCCCTATGCTGCACTAAACGTTCTACCCAATTTAACAAATTTGTAAGGACCAGTTAGGATATGAAAACAGGTCTACCCATTTCTGCTGTACTAGCTGCATCAGTATTGTTATGTACGTATTATCCTTTACAAATTTACTATTTATTGTTTTCTAACCCTTGATATTAGCCTTGAACCAACAGGACAATACAATTGTCCTTAACCTATTTATCAAAGCATTTCTAAAGCCCAACTGGATGACCTTTTCTTTACTAAAGAGTGTAAACAGTTTTTTAGAAAATACTGTTTTCCTTATTTTTTAATCCTTTTTTTTAATCACAGCATTGCTGATTTCCCTCACCTTTATTTTAAAACCTTTTCTCTCTACTTGCAGTTACTCCAGCATTTGCTGCACATCATTGATCTGGACTGGCTTCCTGATCATGACAATGGTAGATCATACCTGCATAATGTGTGTTGGCATGGTCACTATTCTCTGTCAGGGCCTTAGGGTAATGCGGTTGAGAGGCAGTTGTCACTTGATAACAGGAAGTGCCAGTGGCAGAATCACCAGTACTCTTTAATAAAAACTGTGTATTTAATAAGATTAAAGTGACACTAAGCTCAGGAGTTAAACATTAGAAATACATTCAAGTACCCTAACTATTAACAAAAATGTATCTTATTTGTGTTTCACTCAGCTGTAGATCCTCAAATTATCTCTGAATTTGTGCTGACACTGTCCCTCCTTCTGGCGGATGGCTACTTTTGTTCTGCATGGTCCCTGTGTGTGTTGTAAAGTAGCCACCACTCCAAGATCACTCCTGTGATGGATTACAAGCTCAATACAAATTAGTAAACTAAACGTGAGATTGTAGTCTATCATATAAGCAAGCTTGGAGTGGTGGCTACTTATTTTTTAAGATTTAACTCGTAAGTTTAGTGTCATTTTAAATACTGCTTTTGAAATGATGTTAAATCAATAAAGCTCATATGAGATTTTAGTGATTGGTTTTAGTAAGTCTAAACTAAAGTCTCAAGTGTCTAATTCAACACATAAGACAAGGCTAGCATTCTAGACTTAAGACTAGGGCTGTTACTGATTAAAATGTTCGTGTTCGATTAATCGAAAAAAAATTTAATCGATTAATTTCGATAAATTATAACGCACATACAGATATACACATACAGCACAGCAATGAAGTAATAGAAGTAATAAAATGAACTAGGCTCACACTAATCCAGCACGTTATTATTCTGAGTTGCCCCACTCAAGCGGCGGCCATATTGAGAGGGGCACGTGAGATTAATAACGTGCTGGATTAGTGTGAGCCTAGTTCATTTTATTACTTCTATTACTTCATTGCTCTGCTGTATGTGTATAGGCCAATGCCTTGGCTGGCGCTCATGCAGAAAGATTCAAAAAATTGTAATCGATCAAAACATTTTTAATCGATCAAAAAAATTTACGATTAATCGAGAAGTTAATCGTTAATTTGCACAGCCCTACTTTAGACTAACATTTCACAAAACATTCACTGCAGGTGAATCCTCCTGGTGCATGTATTTTAAAGGAGAGTGATTGATTCACCACCAGTGAATGTCACCAGTGAAAGTCACATTCATTGCTTTATAAAAATGCGACAATGCACATTTCCCCATTTTTATTTAGAAATTTGTTGATCTGACCAGAAAGCCAGTGATCTCCTAACTTCGTTTGCACATTGCCTCTGCTGCACTGAAATAAAAATTTGTGTTATTAACCTAGCCCAGTTCTCCCCTTGAATTATAGAACAACTCCCTCTTGTGCTATAAAGGCAAGAGTCCCATCAAAGGAGTACTGTGAAGGTATGCCAACACTGCTTAGGATATCAGTCAGGCCAGGTTCACACATGGGCAATCCGTGACTGCTCAGCAGTCGTGCACGATAGCTCGGGAATTGCTGTGCAGTCACATAGTCGCCCATCACCGACGATCGTGCTCTGTGTGCCATTATTTTCTAATGGCAGTCCAGTCAATCTGGAGCGATCGCGCGGATTCCGCCCGTGCAACCAAACACGATTGTGGATAAAGCAGCCGCGCGTCATGTATCACAAAAAAAGGTACATGTACCTTTTTTCTGCGATTGCCACACGGATGTACCCCATTGAAATCAATGGGGCCTCACAGCAATTTCTGTCTGCAATTGTGCGCGGTCGCGCAATCCCGGGACGCACGTCCGGGATCGCTCAGGCCTGCACAGGCCCTTAAGCAGTGCTGTTATCTCCAACAGTAAGTTAGAAGTGCATTGCATTTCTGTCAAATGTACAGGTTGGTTTTGTAAAATGTATTTTGTAAAGGTTTTGTAAAATTGTTGTAAAATGAGACAAAACACAGACAAATATGCTTGCGTTACAGAAATGTACAAGGTATTTGTTTCTGGTTATTTAAAGAGAAGTAAAGCCAAACCTTTTTTTTTGGCTTTACTTCTCTTTTGGTTCACAGGAGTACATTTACTCCTGTGAAGAAGAATAATGTACTCCTGTGAAGAGAAGTCAGTACACAGTGGGCTATATACAGAGCTGTACTGCAGCCGGGAAGGATTCCGACAATTGTCGAGATCCACACGGATGCCTGATTGATAGCTGGCCCTCCAATGAGCGCTGGGGGAACAGAGAATCCCTGGGGGAAGTGGAGACTGAGAGTCATTGCTGTCTGCAGCGAGGAGACCATGAGCTGAGCGTTTAGCAGTTACATGATCATTGAGCTCTCACTATATAGAGCCGCTGTGTGACAGCTGCTATTGTCTCATGCTGGCCTTAAGTATTGAAAAGAGGATACTTTACTCTCCCAATACTTTTCCTTTAACTTTACCCCTTGAACATTTACTCTTATTTTGACTTATACAGTGAGTCCTTAACACTTACCCTCCTCCTAAAATGTAACCTCTAAAATGTTTAAACCCTAACTAGATAAAGTGTAACATACAATAGCAGCTGCAAAACATTTGTGCTTTTAACATAACTTGCAGATATGAACAGTACTGCCACTGTTTCTGTAGCAGACATTGGCTGTGGCTAAATTATATTTTATGTATGTTATTGACTTTACAGTAAGTATTTAATTTTACAGCTGCTTTGAGCATGCTTTACACAGCTAGGGCACTGCAGGGCATTTATCAAGCTCTAAAATGCATATTGCAGCTCTTTGCATTAAATTTGTAATGAAAGCTTTATGAGAAGCATGTATCTTTTGGCTGTTGTGTATTGCTAAAATATATCAATTTTAAAAGTAATTTGGTGTTTTGTGGTAAAGGCAGACATGGGACATATATAATATTAAAAAATCTCACATCGGTCTCTCAGATTTATAGTCTATGGTCTAGACCTCAGAAACCACACAAAATATATTTTACATACAGAGATTACTGACACAAAATATTAAAATATCCTAAGCAATATATGATCCAAAACTACTTAAAAAGGCTCATTCAATAAAAGGTTTAAAGAACAATGGTGCCTAATCTACAGTAATTCCCACCATCCCCTGCACCCATTATTTTATTTTTTTTTGAATAACATTTTTGTTTTATTAAAGTTTCGTACAAACAACGTAAAGTTTACAGTGTACAGTCAGTTGTGTTGGGTGGACAATAACAAATAATTCACAAACAATGTACAAAGAGGGGTAAACAGTTTAAATGAAGCCCATCCACTCAACAGCATTCTCCTTTGAAAGGACCATTCGGACAACCTTGTTATGGACCATTGAGATGAGTATTAAGTATGCTTATTTACGATCCCATCTGGGTCCTAAAATCCAGTATGTATGTCTCGTGGGTTAAGCCATTTCGTGTTTCCCTCTTGTGTATATATATATATATATATATATATACATATCCTGGGTATACTCAGCAGGAATCTAGCCCATCCCAGTGTTTGAACGTAATGTGAGTACATGTCTTTCAAATGGAGTCATGAACCAACCGTATAGCTGAATTAAATTTAAATAAACTTCAACTTATAACAACTTAAAACTAACAAAAGCGCCTAGCTGCACTTCAAGAATGTTTAACAGAGTATCGTGTCCTCACTTCACCTTTAACGGTCCTAGCTCACCCACAGGTCCACCTCCTAGCTCTCAGTTCAGGTCAGGGCACCCCCGTGGCCATTCTGCTGGTGTCGGCCCTCCCCCCACGGGGCATAGGACTCTCCTGGGTCTCATTCTCTGTCTGCAGTGACCAAATTTCCATATAATCCCATTCTACCCACACTTTTTTGTAAATATGCAGGGTGTTATTCAGTCTAGCCGTTAGATGCTCCATCTCTTGCACCTCTTTAATGCGTTGGTACAAGTCCACTTCAGATGGGGGGGCTGGACGCTTCCAATGAAGGGCAATTAGGCATCGGGCTGCCGTCAAGATATGGGAAGCCAATTTCCGCCCATACTTTCGGAGTTGCAGGAACGGGAGACCCAGCAAGTAGTGGATAGGATCTAACGGTAGCTGTATTTGCAACAGGTTCTCCAGTGTGGTTTGAACCATCTTCCAGAACCCCCTGCAGTTGTGGGCAGGACCAGTATATATGATATAGAGAGCCTACATGACCATCATTCCGCCAGCAGGCGGACGATACATTCGGGAAGATAGAATGTAAAAGCTCGGGGGTATAGTACCATCGATACAGTATTTTATATTGATTTTCCTTATAAGTCGAGCAGATAGACGATTTTGCTGTTGCCCTCCATATCAACTCCCATTTTGAACCCTCGTTATAGGAGCCCCCAGATCCTTTTCCCACTGAACCATATTGGGGTGTTGGATAAAATGTTCCGGGTGCGGAGTGATTAGCATTTGATAAATAGCCGAAATCATACCCTTCTGGGAGGGGGAGGAGCTGCACAACATCTCAAAGGGTGTTCTTCTATCAAATTTGAGGTTTGGGGATATG